CAACTACTCTTCCTGAAAAGAATGTTTTCCTACTACAAAATGTAAATCTCCCGTATATCGAAGCTGAAGATCCTTTCTTTCTGTTCTGTCTTGATGACCATGAAAGAAATCTCTACCCTAGCAACCTGCTGTTTCTCTTTTGGTTTTCTTGATTAAATGACCAAGCAGGTAATCAGACATCTGGAACTCTCAATGTTGCTGCTGACATAGCTAATTAAAGGGTGAAGAGCTTAGTTCATATATATGATTAATACTACCAAGGTGTTTTATGGTTTTAATGTTCACAAATTATGAGTTTAATGTTCATAAATTTAACTTTCATAAATTAAAAAAGTTTTATGTGGATTACCGGATTTTTCTTCTTAAGGATCAGAATTAATCAATGTTTTTTCAGGGAAGGGACATAATAAAGATCTAACTACTATCCTAGCACAATGCAAGTGAAGGGTTCCATTGCTTTTCATGCTGACTGCAAATGAGGAGACCCAGTGAATTTCCCCAAAATTAGTTCTTTAGACCTTTGTTTCTGAAGAACTTCCCCAAACTATCAGACACTCTTCACCAGCTAATAAGGTGCCAGGTTATATTACAGACTACAATAGTCCATCCTTCTATCCCTGAAATTCCTCTGTGACATTGACAGGATTGCCTTAAATTACATGTTTCTTCTTCCTGCTAAGTTAAGTGGTAAGAGCCTATTCTAATGGTTTTTCCCTAATCTCATTTGTATTTCTATCCAGTTGTTTCTCTGGGCTTTTGGACATAAGTAGATGGACCACAAAGGTACTACTTGCTGTTCTGTCTGTTAAAAGTACTCCCCCTGCTGCCTTACCCAGTGAATGAGGAGGTACCAGTGTTGCCTGACCCTGATGCCCTTGAACCTACCCCCCTTGCTTCCCTTTGAACTCATCATCAGTCCTTGACCTGCTAACTGGCCACTCGGAGGCTTTGATGAACTGTTAGTAGAGCTGGAGAGCAAATTGACAAGTGGCTCTAATCATGTTTATCTTCACGAAGGAAGAGTGAAATCTCTCATTTTCAGAGTTTCAGAAAGACAGCCCATTCCTTCCTGCTCAAAAGGTGTGGAGACTGCTACTGATTAGGCTGTCTGAATGCTCTCATTTTTCCTCATCACAGTCACACCTGTTTGGGTTTCTGTCTCTCCCCAGAGATGCCTCTTGAGAGCAGGTCCCCTCAGCTTCTTACAGCTGATCTGAGGCCTGCCAAAAGAGATGGGCAGAGAAAGATGAGCATTCTATGCTCTGATAACTCACATAACCCTCTGAAAAGAATGCTAAAGCCCAGTTCTCAAGTGAACCCTAAAGGAATGGTGCCAGAGGGACTTCTCCTCTGGAATTCCATTTAGACTTTATGTACTGGTGGGGTGGGAAAGGAGCAGAGACATGAGAAGTATGAGGAGAGGAAGACAAGGCGGTAGAAGGAACAGGATCATATGCAAAATAACCAGAGACTCCTAGAGTCAAAAGGACTTTAAGGAATATCTCATCTAGATGTTTTCAAACATTTTGTTTTTAGTAGAAATCATACAATGAACCGCAGTATATAGATGTATGCAAAAATGTTATAGTTGAAACGTTTGTGAGGGAACTTATATCATGTCTATGTACTTTTGGGGTGCTACAGAATACAATTAGAAAGCCTCCAATATTGTCTAAGCATTACTTTAAAAGTAGGAAAACAGACTACAACAGAAAGAATAACATACCCAAGGTGACAGAGACACTTAGTGGCAGAGATAGGATTAAAACATATGCCTCATCTGCCAGCTAGATTAGATCCCTTTGGGCATGTGTAGAATGTGAGAGAGGAACTAAGAATGTATTCTGCCAGAATATGCTCAAGGAGGGACTTTGGTAGGCAGTGCAATGGAGGAGAAGAAGTCTGAGAGGAGCAAAGGAAAGTAGACCTGTTGAGCCTAGAGGAGTTGAAACCACAGAGGTTGAGAACGTTGAAATGCTATGAATCTGGAGGAGATCAAGAAATTCTATAGCAGAATTGGTAGGAGTAGAACAGGACAGGAGAGAAATGGTTTTGAAAAGAAGTGTCAAAAGAGAGTTCCTTCTACTAAAATACCATTCTATTCTAATGCCATTCTGAGAAGACAGTGGGGTAGAAAGGAAAGGCCAATATGCTTCTCCAGGATGGGCTGCAATTCTGTCCTTCATTACGCTTTTGTGAGACGGATAGGGATTGGCACAGTTCCCCTTCACGGATTTGAGAGTGATATTCAGTCTTGTTCAGAGTTGCTAAGCACCTGGGAAATAGACATGAGATTTCGGAAAGTGTGAAAATGGGTGCTTTATTAATGGTTAAACTTGCTTGGATAATATGATTTGGTTAGACTCATGTTCAGAGTGGTCTGTCTTTACAAGTGCCTCTTCTCTAGTTACATCACCAATATGCCATATATTTTCCTGTCCACGGAGATGGAAGAACAGAAGGAGGCTATAAAAAAGCAGAAGGACCTCTTGAAGGCCGATGAGAGACATATCCGGTAACCCCTGTATTCTTCCTGTTACCAGTATTATAAAAGTTCACTGGGCAGAAGCTGATCAAGTGTTATGAAGTTTCAGTTAGATGGGAGCAAGAAGCTCTGCTGTGCTATTGGACAGTAGGGTCCATGGGGATAATGATAACACACAGTACATTTCAAAAAGCTATGGTTTCACATTTTGCCAATAAAAAAATGCTAACTATATGAGGAAATAGTTTTAACCTGACTTAAACATTACATAATGTGCCCACGCACTGAAACATCATATAGTACCCCATTGATGTGTGTTATTTTTATGCTTTTATGTATAAGTTAAAAATAAAATCAATGAAAGATAATTGGGGAGAGAAGGTTTAGAGCAAGAAAGGCATCTACAATCATATGTGGAATCAAGTTGCCAGCTTGACCCACTGCTTGGTTACATGAGCTTAGGTCATAGACTTTACTTTCCTATCAAAAAATGTTGTGATGGTACATCGGGGTTGGGACTTGATATGAGGTATTTGCACACTTGTTTGCAACTTTGTAATGATAAGTGTCCCTGACCTGAGCATTCTCTGGGGCTGTTCACCTACAATATCTAGCTTCAAATGGCCATACCAGCAATTCTCTATGGTATCTGAAAATATCATATGGATGGTGTTTGAATGAGCACTTGGTGAGAGCTCTCTCAGAAGAGAAGCAAAGTGGAGGAAAAAGGAATACGAGAAAGCCCTCTTTATTTTCTCAATAGCTTCCCCTCTTTGAGTCCCAAAGTCTTTCCCTTTCCTTCATAACAACTTCATCCTTTGGCTTCTTGGAGGAGGTGGGAGGGCTTCTCTGGTTCAGGGTCCTGAGCGAGAAGCAAGAGTAGGAAAGTCAGGGCCCTTGGCACAGGTCCTCAGCAGACGGTAAAAATAGGCAGAGTGAGCAAGGATCTCTTAACTCTCCATCCACACCTCAAATATCTGACCCTGATCAAAGCTTTTGATCCCTCTTTTGGTGAGACTATGCTCCTACATAGTTCCTGGAATTTAACCAATGATTGTTTATATTCTGAGCCAGGAAATATCTCCTTCCTTTCAGAATCAATGTAAATCTGCCATTTATCAATTATCTTGAACATATTTTTACTGAACATAAACTATATGACAAGATCTGTGCTAGGAGGTGGAATTACAGTGGTGAATAAGAACAGTCTCAACTGTTAAGGTATTCAAGTTCCAGTGGGAGCAGACCACAGGACTTAAAGCCTGATGAGTTCTTTTCTTTTGGGAAGGCCAAAAGCCTTCAAATGAGTAGGTGGGAAATTTCTCAGCCCCCCTGCAGCTTTCACCCCAGCCTCCCTTGTAAACACACAGTGGTACAGGAGACATTGCAGGGCTGAGGAGGAGTGGAAGGAAGGAGCAGCAGCATCAGCCTTGAAGCAGGAAAATCTACAGAAGGCTCCAGCGATTCAGTTCTGATGGGATAAACAGCCTGATAGTTTCCGTGTTGATAAGTGTTTCCATGTTTCTGAATCTGAGCTTGTTGGAAGGTCAGGCAAGAAAAGAGTTACACTGTAGAGGCTAAGCTGTGCATTTGGTTTTACATCCACATCACTTCTGAAAAGAACTGCAAAGGAGGAGGAGGAGGAGGAGTCCAGTAAGGAAAGTGTAGGAGTGTAGTGGCAGCTCCAAGATAGAGCAGCCCTACTATTTGCGGATCCCTGTTTGGCCTCAGAAATCAAGTAATCCAGGGCTGGCCTCGCGTGTGCTAGCCCTGTAATCCCGGGGTCGGGGCACCAAAAACACTGGTGCCTCTGAAGGTAGGATGATGTCCATGTCGGTGGAGCATTCCCTCTTTACTGCATTCATGGCCCCAAAAGCCATTCTTTCTTCTCCCTTTGCTTACAATATAAAACAAGAAGAGAACTTGTGAGTAGAGTGAAGCCAGCAAGAAGCCAGACTCAGTTCCTGAATTGCAAGGAGGGAGGCTGGCTCAGTTTGAGAAGCAGGAAAAAAAGAAAAAGGAAGACATTGGGAAAGTTGGAGACCTGCCCAGGATAAGCAGATTTACTATGACCTCCCAAATACCGCCTGTGCCACACGACCCAAGCTCTTTGAACCCCAAACTCCAAGGCACAGATTAAGGGGAACAGAAGAAAAATGGGGACCCGACTGCACGACTTGGCACAGAATGAAAAGTCAGCAAAAACCACTGGGTGGCAGCGTGGTGTGCGGGCGCAGCTCTGCAGTGCCTTCTGCTGCCTCTGTCGCGGGGGTTGAGCCCGTCTGGGAGTCCTGGCCTCCTCTCCTGAAGGGCTACAAGTGTTGCCCTGCAAAATACCTCGGAGCAGGTGGGGGTGGGTGTTGCAAAGCCCGAGCCTGGGGCTGGGGTCTGCCGAACTTCCCGGGAGCTTCAGCCTGGGCTCCATCTGGCCAGCTAAGAGTCAAACACTAACGGAACACCCCTCCCCGCTCCGCCTCCCCCCACCCCCAGAGCCGCGGCGCAAAGCAGGGCTCCTTCAATCCAACTGTCTCATCCCGGTGCTTCCTCCATCACCGTTTCCTCCCGAAGCTGCTTTCGGGCACGGGAGGAGAGAAGGGTTTGGGCGATGGGGCAATGCCTAAACCCTTACAGGTGTTAGCTCCCTTCCGGGACTCGGGGGTGGGGCTGCGGGGGGCGGCCCGCGGCGGGGCGCCAGCACGCTGGGCTCGGCTCCGGGAGAGAAGGAGGGGCCGCCGAGGGAGGGGGCCGCGGGGAGGCCGTCGCGCTCTTCCGGAGGGTGCCTGCAGCGACTGGATTCCAGTGCTGCGACGGTGCCGCGCCCAGAGCAGCAGCAACAGCGAGGATGAGAGGCCATTACCTGTTTGATCCCTGCCGGAAGGCCGGCACGGGCCAACTTTTCCTGATCAGCAAGCTAAGAAGTTGCAAGGACTAGTGGAAGACTCGGAGGGGCCAGGGCGAGGGCGCGCTCCCCCGCGCGCTTCCTCCTCCCTCCTCCCTCCTGCCGCCCGCGCTCCCGGCCTCTCTCCCGCCCGCGCTCTCTCCCTCCGCCCGCCTCCCTGCTCTGGCCCCTCCACGCGGTACAGGGTGGGGGGTGCGGCGAAACTCCGACCCAAGCCACTTGGACTTGCACAGTGTCCTCGGGGCTCTGGGGCCGAGAGCACGCAGTCGCGCAGCTCTGCCTCCGCCTGCCCGTCTCGCCCGCGAACCCGGCCCCGGGCTGTGGCGTCGGCTTGGACCCAGGCAGCCAGCAGCCCGCGCGGGAGCCGGACCACAACCAGAGGAGCCCGGAAGGCATGCGAAGCCCCCTCCTCTGCTGAAGCCCGAGTGAGAAGACGCTCGGGCTAACGCAGGCTAAAGAGACCAGGGCGGCCAAGGCGCGAGACAGCGGGAGAGCAGCGGAGAAGCAGGAGGAAGAGGAGGAAGAGGAGGCGAACCCAGACAGGGTCAGCAGAAGAAGTGGTGGTGGTGGGCGTCGTGGCCATGGCGGCGGCAATCGCCAGCTCCTTGATCCGTCAGAAGAGACAAGCCCGCGAGCGCGAGAAATCCAACGCTTGCAAGTGTGTCAGCAGCCCCAGCAAAGGCAAGACCAGCTGCGACAAAAACAAGTTAAATGTCTTTTCCCGGGTCAAACTCTTCGGTTCCAAGAAGCGGCGCAGAAGGAGACCAGGTCGGAAGGGGTTTTAGCTTTTTTTTTTTTTTTTTTCCTTTTTTTGTCTTACTTTGTGAGTGTGGAAGGGGTTGGGGGCGGGTATGTAAGCCTAGGTAAGTTTGTCTGTAGCCCATCCTGTGCAGATGAGGCCAACGAGGCGGTTTGCGTGTGTAAGAATGAGATTGCTTCCTTACCTCCTTCGTAACAGTAACAGGCTTACTGCATTGCAACTGCCCTGGGACAGGCGCAGAGCCTGGGGGCATACCCTGCCCAAGAGGCGCGCCCTCAGCTTCAGATATGTCGCTCTGTGTGTGTGTGTGTGTGTGTGTGTGTGTGTGTGTGTGTGCCCGGTGGGCTCTGGGAAGGCGTGACCGAGACACGATCGTTCATGTAGCGTGTGGCGTGGAAATTGCAGAAGCAAGCTGGGCAGACACCACTCCCCCTCCCCCAGGAAAACCCGGGGAATCCCTCTCTTGCCGTTATCTCTGCCTATCAGACCCTTCCTCTGTAGCTTTCACCCCCGAGGGATGTGGGCTTCCGCTGTCTAGGCATTCCCTTTCTTTGAATACGGTACTTTTAAGCTTTTTGGGACAGGCTTGACTTGTGGTGCAGCTTTGAAATGTTTGCTGGGGGGAGGTGGATTTCTAGAACCTTGCGGCAAAACGACTCAGTGAGCTGGTTAGATTAGTAGAACTGTGGTTACTTGATGTGAAAATACGAGGTTGAAGAGGGAACTTAAACTCAAAGCTGGATTCTGGGTTCTTTTGAACCATTTCAGTGATAAGAGTAGCACGATATTCTGGTGACAGGAAATTCAGACAGCTATTGGCGTCAGGTTGCGTCAAGGTAGACCTTGGGGGGAAATATGCAGCTTATTTGCCATTCTTAACCAAATGAATCTTTTGCACTATTTTCTTACCTTTTACCAGATAAATATTACAACAAATCCGATTTCCTCATCAGTCTCTTCTCTACTTATGTGTTCTACACACCCTGGAATGGAAATGCAGGCATAGATTTACTGGTTGTACAAAGTTTGTAATACATTAGCTGTAAATTAGGCTTGTTTTAAAAAGGCTTCAGCAGTTGCAAAACATGATTATGTAGTTCGAATAATCACATAAGTATTATTTCAGCGCAGGTGTCTGTATTCAATAAAAGCAAATTTTGGATAGCATGGCTGTTATGGGTAAATTAGATGTTTGATTAATCTATGGTGATTCATAATTAAAGATCATTTAAATTAAGAACCCATGTTTTGGGTAATCACATTTCTGATATTAAATTTGAAAATAAGTATGAACTAAATTTCTTTTCTTCCCATGAACAAAAACTCTGCTTTTTTCAAATCAATTTTCCCTAAGAATAATTAATAGGAGAGAACATGGTGATGGTTGTTTTATCTCCCCTACCTTTTTTGTGTGTATAGGAGCCTGTTTTCTAAATACAGATTCTTTGATGAGGTTTCAGGTCATTTACGCATTTTCAGCCTTCTTAAGAGTGGGGGAAGTATTCATTCAAATTGCGGTAATGGTGAGGGAAGTAGTTGCTAGTGGGATTTTGACCCCTGAATGGCAAACAACTCTGAATTATCTTTGTATTTTTCTGCCACATGAAAAGTGGCACATTGTTAAAAAGGCAGACCGTGCCATTTGCCAACCCATTTGGAGTGTTCAGTGAGAGTCCCACTCTAAGCTAAAGGACAAGCTGTCAGAATCTAGCTGCAGTCAGAAGCTTTGGGGTTTTTACCAATGTTATGAGGTAGGAACTAAATGTTTGTTCCCTTGTTTGGAGATTTCTTCTGAAACTTGGATTTTGTCTACTTGTGTTCGGTCTCCCAGAGGACTCTTTGAAAGTGTAGTTTCACTTTTCCCACTAAAATTTGTAAATGAAATTAGATTTTTAGATTCTGAGTCTTGTCAACTTCATTTGTACACTGTCAACTGATCCAAACCATTATTCTCTTTGCAGAGCCTCAGCTTAAGGGTATAGTTACTAAACTATACAGCCGACAAGGCTACCACTTGCAGCTGCAGGCAGATGGAACCATTGATGGTACCAAAGACGAGGACAGCACCTATAGTAAGTGACTGCTAAATAAATAGTGTATACCAGCATGTTGTTGACTTTGTGTTCTTTTTATTTATGTTTAAGTAAACAACTCTCAATAAATCGTGAAGGCAAAATGCGGTCACACCACATAATACTGTTTACACAGGTTCACCGACAGGAACTTGAACATGAAATATCTAAAACAGTGAACTAGAGCAAATAATGTTGACACCATCTGAAGAATGAGCCAAATGTCATCTCCATGGTAATCTAAGATGGATTTATGGCCGTCCTTTCGATTTTATTACTGTTTTCCCACAGAAAATTTACTCACCTACACACTGATCCCAAAATAGCATGTTATCTCTACGCTTAAGAACCAGTCTCATCCCAAGAGACACAATTGGTTTTGTACTAGAATTCATCATTACAAGCTCTCACTCCCCACCAGACACACTCAGAAGTCTGCATCTAGTTGGGACTTTAATGTTGAGATACATTGCATAGGCAGGTAAAAGGATTTCCTCTAGTGCTTTATTTTTAATCATGGTTTTTGAAAAGTCTAAATCAGAGACTGTTCTGGTGAGGCTAAAAAAGAAACAAGTACAATGTTATAGCACTTTACTTTCTAATTGTTGAAGACAGGTAATTTCAAGGTGTTATATAAGCTTTGACTATATATGCTTTCTTTGGAATGATAAAAACATAAACTGAGGTAGTACAGCCTTCCCTTCAATGATAATTAGATTTTTTGCAACTTGAGGATTTTTGCAGACCTATTACCTGTTTCATAATCTATAAATTTTGATTCTCATAGTACATTCTATGATTGCTCTAATATCTGTTAAACTTCCCTTAGACTTTGATAATTCCCAAACATATTCCCATGGTCAACTGAGAAAATAGCCAAGGAAAATAGGTCTAACAGCTAAGAAGTATGCTACAGCCTTTTTAGCCTTGCATGGCTATAGATAGTAGAAAGCCATAGACAAGAGTTCTAATTATTAAGAATTAAAAAGTTTTGGGGCTGGGGATTTAGCTCAGCGGCAAAAGCGCCTGCTTGGCAAGCGCAAGGTCATGAGTTTGGTTCCTGGTACCGGAGAAAAACCAAAAACAAAAAAAAAAAAAAAAAAAAAAAAGAATTAAAAAGTTTTATACCTTTAACAGAAGCTCCCTGGGCTGGTGGCCAAGCTATGACCTCAGGAAGAAGTCAGCTTTAAGTACCTTTTTAAAAAGGTCTTTCTGGTTCCTAGGATAAAGAATCTCCATACTAAATGGTCTTCCTTGTTTTGTAAAATATGATGTTACTGTTCTGACATGGTTTTAACATGAATCCTAGTTGTTCTTTTATGCATCCTTTTGTATTAAAATATTTAGCCAAGTGTACTGTAGTCAAATAGTAGGCATTAGTACATGATAATCGATAATAAAATATTTTCCAAAATTATATGTTTAAGTGGTATTTGGAGAAAGAATAAAGGTATTTAAATTGCTCTTAACTTGCCAAAGTGCCTCAGGAAAAGGGGATCTGTTGGGCATTTTTAAAAGGAAATTCATGATTAGCTACCAAGGAGCCCCACCTAGTCAGGCTCCCCCACCCTGATCTGTTTGTAATGTTTTCTCCAGGTCCATTTAGAGAATAAACATTTTGGATCCAGTGTTCACATGTGTTTCTTCAAAAGTAAAAATTATTAAAAGTATATGAACCACTGTGCTGTGTTTTATTAACAGGTATATGCCAAACTCATCATGGTCATACTGTATATAATCATTTTAAGAGATATTTCCTTCTCTCTTACACATATCAAGGCTGTATTTCTTATTGTGGATATTTATTTATTTATTTATTTTTGGAGGGGTACCAGAAATCAATCCCAGGGCCTCTCGCTTGAAAGGTAGGTGCTGTGCCCCTGAGCTACAGCCCTGGCCCTATGGATCATTAAACCATGCATTAGGTTTTACTCTTCCATTCCTACATATGCATACCTTCTGCTTTTGGTTGCCTCATAACTGACTGATAAGCATGGCATTTCTGAGTATTAATGATATTTGAAGACCTTTAAAGAATATAGCCTGAAAACAAGAATCTGGGTTTAGACAGATAAAACAAAAAAAGTAAGTCAACCAAAGGTAAGCATTAGCATTAGATGATGCATACACATGCAAAGAATCTCAAAAGAAATAGCAGGTCAGTGGGGCCTGACTCTAGCCTTGGTATCAAGAGTGACCGGAAGCTACGGGACTACCTTAGTTTTTCCACTGAGGATGTCATAGGAATAAACAATCATGAAACAGAAATATTTAATGATTAAACTGATCCATCACAGTGGAAGTCTAGCCATCCAAATTTGTTCTCTCCTCCCAAGTAAGTTTATTGGCATTAATTTTTTTATTAGGACAGGTTTGCAGTACATAATGATTACAATTATTGTGGGGAGTCAGTACATGCACATAATACATCTTAATTTTATATTTTCTCTCTTATTTTGTTTTCCATCCCTTATCCCTCCTCTCCCCCCCTGCTCCTTCCAGTGAGTGGAACAAAATACAAGTTTCCTTGTTCCAACTCTTACTCATTTGTGTAATAGTTTCTCAATATGTATTCCTGCTGTTTTACTTTTCTTAATTTATATTTTTATCATGGTTTTCTCATTTAACTCAATTGATTTTATTATTTTAACTCCAATATAATGATAAAGCAACTCATTTCACATTTCTCCAGACATTCTAAAATATGTTTAATATTAAACATTTAAGCCTACTTTATGTGGATTATTACAATGGTAAACGTCAGTTAAATGAAATTTCCTTTCGAGCAAATCAGCCATTATAAATTCTGAAGTCTCTGCCTGAAAAGATAAAGAAGATAGGCATTTCATGGCTATGGTTTTATTATATTTTCCTTGGGTGCAAAGAAAGCACCAAAATCCTATCTTAAATCAATGAAGATTTCGAAAAATCAAGGCATTTAAGAAGATGGTGATTCTGTCCCAGCTTACTTTTGACATACTTCCTTTGCATTTTATCTGGGAAGATTGTTCCTCTAGACAGATTTGAAGCCATCCCAGTTTATGAGCAATCATGAATGTCTAAAGAAAGAAGGACTGATATGACCAGCTACTCTATGTTTTCCATTCAGTTTTTTAAAATTTGATTTTGGATTGGTGTTGTTTTTTGTTGTTGTTGTTGTTGTTATTTTGACTTTTGGATAAGCCTTTAGAGAAATGTATTACATAGTGAAAAATACATGCTGTATTACATACTTAATAGTATTATTCAGGAATAGAGAATCGTAGGCATGGATTACTGTTCTTCTTCCTACTGCTGTCCGATATTTGAAATTTAAGCATTTTTATTTTCATTAAAACCCTAATCAGGGAATGGTTAGGGAACGAGACAAAAATGAAACCAATCTCACCCACCCATCTGCTGTTACAAGCTACATTAAGAGAACTAAAAAAGTTCAGAGTGTTGTAAAACTGAGGTTCTAGAAATAATTTTGAATTTCATTTATTGTTCTCCATCATCTACTACTATGACCATAATAGATTTCACACATATTCTTGTATTATCATTATCAAGAAGAATGTAGTGATACAGCATTTCAACCAGACTCATATGGACAGTTTGACTTGGTGGTTTTAGACCTCAAAAAATTTTAATTATGGGCCTTGGGGCTGGGGATTTAGCTCAATTGCAAAAGCGCCTGCCTGGCAAGCGCAAGGTCGTGAGTTCGGTTCCTGGTACCGGAGAAAAACCAAAAAAAAACCAAAACAAAACAAAAAAAAAATTATGGGCCTTTTTGTAATGGGTTTTGATCAATAACTTCCAAAAAATACAATATATTTTTGCTGAACAGTTTGCTATCAGCCTACAAATATCTGTTGAGTACCTTCTGTGAGCAAGGGATCAACAAAGAGGTATGGCATATACATGACATGCTCAAAGATACCAGACTTCTAGCCTGTGCATTGCACTGTCAAATATAGCATGAAATCCAGGCTTGCAATCTGTGCAATTACTTTCCTTTACCTCATATAACAGAAGGGCACAGCTTTTAATATGATGGATATTGAATGAAGTGCCGTCAGTGGCACGTGGAAAGAACACTTGTATTTTGAACTGTACAATATGTCCTAGCTCCTCATTGGTACCACCCCGATTTTAGGGGAAAGATACAGTGCAGGCTCACCGACAAATACTCAGTTCTTCATTAATATTTTTCATCCATATTACTGCATCTACCACTGCACAATATATATGCAGAGAGAAGTGATCCCAGAAAAAAAAAAAAACCTATTCTTACCGATGGGGTGACTTCTTTAAATTTCACTGAAATATCACACTGATATATGATCCTCAGAAAACTTACAAAACAAGGAAAAAATCATCAACGTTGGTTGATGACTCTTGAGAGAAAGGTGCCCAGGATATTTTCAAAAAATGTGTGTGGCAAGCACTATGATTTAAAAATGTACTGTTTTATTTTTATTCACTGTGTGGGTGGGAGTAGACAGCTGGTAGTAGGAGGGCACCCACTGGTTGTCTCCAGTGAGTGGTGTGTGGTTGTGAGCAGAGCTTGGGTGTAAGTTTCATGGAGTCAGACCTTCAAATGAAGAAATGAAGGTCTGATTGAAACAAGTCAGCACTCTACTTGCAACTAATTTGCAGGGCAAATATATTAAAATACACCTCTTTTATTACTTTTCATTCCTATAACGTTTGCTCTTCAAGACTAAAAATTAGGAGAAACGTTAGGAACCCAGGCCTACAAAATATGACTTTTTTTGCAAGGCCTAGATTTATTTTTGAGGTTTCGCATTAGAAATGATACAGATGAATCAGATAAGGGCATTAAACTATTGTCTCTCTTAAAAATCTCTCCCCGACTGATCTTAACTGTGCCTGTGAGAATTTCAGCAGCTATTTAGGGCAACAGTTTAAAACTTTAGTTTGTAGGAAGACAACATTGTTTAATGTACAGACCACTTCCTGCAACTTGATCTCCCAGGGAGTGTGAAGATACCCCACCTCCGACACTAAAAAACAATAGAATTGGGACCCCAAGTCTTCCATTGTCTCCACTGCTGGAGGGTATGTAGTCAGAGTCTTGCTAAAGTGACTGAAACCATGAATCAAGTAGAATGAGGCTTTATCTGTATGTGTCTAAATATATATCTGTTTGTTCTTACCAAGTGCATACTACTTTTGGAGAACCAGATAGTCCAGCTGAAAACATTGAAAAGGTATGAAATTCAGAACTGTAACACTGTTTTCACGTTCTTTTAACTTTCAGCTCTGTTTAACCTCATCCCTGTGGGTCTTCGAGTGGTGGCTATTCAAGGAGTTCAAACCAAGCTGTATTTGGCAATGAACAGTGAGGGATATTTGTACACCTCGGTAAGTCTTTGTTTGCATGTTTTGACTGTTCTGGTTTTCATCTGGTATGAAAGCAAATGTGCTATATACGTGTTATCAGTGCAGATTTCTGTGACGAGAGGAAGACTGTTCTTGAGAGAAATATATCAGTGGGAAGGACAAATGAGGTTCTTGGCTCTTGTGAAAACTCTTAACCAGTTACTGTCATTTGAAGCTAGCATGTTCAGTCCAAAAATCAAAAATTCACTGAAAAGTTTTATATGCAGAGTTATTTGGGTTTTTATATAGAATAAAGTGGTCTGTCTTGGTAATTTGCTTTACAGGGAAACAAAGCCATTTCCTAACTCGGACCTGCATTTGCCTCAGTTTACTTCTCAAGAAATCAATGAGAATTTTCCCTCATATTAACCCCAAGACACAAAGAGTAGTGCTAGAAGTACTTCTACACTTTCATGTATCTATTCAGTTAGCACAATTATTGTCTGCCTTAGGTATTTAAATTTCCTTATTATTTTAGTTGTACAAATTTATAGAATACAGTGATATGTATATATATGTACACACACACACTATATATACTCATTAAATTAGAGGAATTAACATTTCTTTCAATATTTTATACTTGGAGCTTTTAAGTTCTTGGCTTCTAGGTATTCATAAAATAAATTCTTTACAATGTTTTGGTCAATTATGGTTCAACTTCTTACATACAAATGGCTGCTTGCCTTTTTATTGCAAGTTTTCAGTGAAGAGAGAAAAGTGAAATTTCTTTCAAATTTACAGACAGTGTTGAATATAATTTAGTAAAGAATGTGGGCCCGAAGTAAACTTTTAAAAATATGTTTGGCATTGAAATATAAGCAAAAATGGTATAGTACTAGTGTCAGGATTTCATTTTTATTAGATCTACTTTTGGATTATAGGAGGCCATCTAATACATGAATACTTTTTACTCTTTAGTATGAATTGTTGTATTTCAGGAGGATAGGATACTGGAATGGAGAAAATTTTTCCTATTAGCCAGCCTTAAAGGAAGTTGATATTATATCTATAAAAATAGATGCCACAAACTGCAAGTAAATCATTTACTTATAATCACTCTAGCTTTCCCTTACTTCCTAAACTTACTTCAAAACCAGACATACAGACTGATTCTTGGCAGACATGGTAGAAACCATGTTCTAATCCTGTTTTCCAGAATCCAAGGTAGGAAAAAAGAGTAAGAGAATAGTAAGACCATACTAGGCCCATTCATTTGTTAAGAAATGTAGGGTATTTCATGCTATGATAAAATACTATGATCAGAAGATTATTATTAGCATACACATCAAACCCTAGAAATTATGAGCATTCCTTTCAGGCCATTTATAGATCATCTCACTGCTTATTAAATGTAGGTTTTTTATTAAATAAAACATTTAAATTTATGGCAAACATCATGAAATTTATCACTTTATTAATATAGTACTATTATTATAAATAATAAGAAAGGGGATTTGTTTTTCCAGATTTGCATGTTACATTAAGTTTATTCAATAATAATTTAAAACAATCCTGTTTAGATCAACAGGACTAGATGCAAAAGCAGGTGTTTAATAAAATAAGCATTTGCAAAAACCGATATGCATACGTGGGAAGAGATGACATAGGAAATAATTACTGGTAAAGCATTCAGAAATTTTCTTGGTTGTGGCCACAACATAAAAGTTCATGAAAAATCTTGAATTTTTCATCAACCTTTGAAAACCATTCAGAGTGACCATTACTCTGAAAATACATAAATGTCAATGTAGACTCATTTATAAGAAAGGCTTCCCAGGGGAATCACCATTCTAGATTGGTATGCAAGCAAGTGGACAGCAAAATTTGTAACATTCTGTCTATATTTTCCATTTAAGGAAAATGAACCTTCAGTAAGCATTTCTTATTAAGGAAAAGATACCATGTTTTTTATGAATCAGGAAAGATGCCTGATTGATGATCCTGACATGCATAGAGGGGGACAGTATCCAAATTACTCTTCTCTAGGAAAGAAATATAAATCTTCTCTAGGATAAATGTTCCGTTTCTTCCAATTACTTCTTATTGATTATGGCTTGGAGTCTCTTCATCCTGTTGATCACTATCCTTAGTGGATACTGCATTTTTTTGTCATCTTATTTAAAATTTTGTACCCAAAATGTCTTAGGATAGAGTTCTTTCCTAATGACTATGTTGTTAAGACCAAAAAAACTCAATGAAATATCATGCGTGTTCAACAAGAGAAGGCAACCAAAAATTGGGATCACTTCTTCTCTTGCAAAACTGCCTTTTAGCAAATTCAGTATAAGATGGAACAGGGCAATGATCTGATGAGAAAGAATAAGTGAAGAAAGTAAGGGGGTACTGATATGTAGGCAAGTAAGAAAGATACTCTGAAAAATTTACTGCAAATAATCTTGGTGAGGGATGATTAGTGTCTATCTTAAATGAATTGCAGTGGAAATGTCTGAAAATATATGAATTGTTCAGATATTTTAGAGGTAAAATTATCAGGATATGACAGCCGATTGCATTTGGAAAGGAAGGACCACATATATCTTTGCAGGTTAATGCTTGTCATTCATTGCATGGATGGAAAGAAAGTGTCTTTAGGTAGGGACTTCTTAACAGATTTCTATAATTGTGTTTAGAAAATAATCAGGGGTTGTGAGGGAGAGGGGAAATTTGACCTTTAGCATTTGGGTTGATAGTAAAACTATTAACCAAATAGTAATAAAAGGAAAAAGGCAGATTTGGGGCAAATGATACAACATACAACTTGTACTAGGTATATGAAAATATTGGCCTTAAACTTGAGAAAGGGCTGTGAACTAGAGATAAAACTTGGGAGTTATCACAAGTGGGGGGTGCTTGATACCATGCAAATAATTGAGAAAATGTGTAGCATGAGAAGCTACTTTGTTAAGTAATATTAGGGAATACCAAGATGGAAGCATCCAGCAGAAGCAGATAGGATATTGCAAAACTAAATGGAGAGAGAGTTTTAAGGGGAATCAGCAATGCCAAATTCTTCAGTGAAAATAAGTAAAATGGAAACTGTGAATTTGCCCTATGATCTTTGGTGAGCGTGACATAAACATGTTTAATGGAATAGTGGGGACAGAAGCCAGACTGCAGTGGATGGAAGAGTCAAGAGGGAAGAGAGGAAGATATAGCAGATACAGAATTCTTAAGGGAAAGGGTGGTAGATGGGAATATTTAGGGGAGGACACAGGGTTGATGAGGGCTTTGAGAGTTCTTCGTTTAAAGATTAAAACACTTGGATATGTTTAAGTAAAACGAAAGGAGCCAGTAGACAGGGAGTGATTAAAGACATAGGAAATGGGGTCCTTTATGGAGTATAGCCCCAGAGGAGATGGGATGGCGATGGACTTAAGACCAAGTGAAATGATTAGATTCACCTTAAAAGAAGGGACACTTCTATAATAGGAGGCAAAGAGATGATGGCAGATGCGCATGTAGTTATACACTGCATCTGCAAGTGATGGACAGGCGTTTGAAGGATTTGCTGCAGAATGACCTGTCTTTTCACACTGAAGTACAGTAAGAGATCATCTCTGAAAATCAGAGGCATAGGAATGGCAAAAGTAAAGAGCAGCAGTTTTGTGGAAGGTGAGAAGAAACAGTCTAATAGTCATACAAAAAAACTGTAGCCATTGGTCAAATCCAGCACACTATCTTTTATAAATAAAATTTTACTGGAACAAAAATTACACTCATTCACTTACTTTTGGTCATTGGCTGCTTTTGTGCTACAAAAGCAAATTTGAATAATTGTAACAGACCACAAAGCCTCAATTATTTACAGAATAACTTGATTCTTTATCAAAAAATATTTTCTGGCCTCTAGACTCAAATCAGACAGTGGGTTCGTGTCCTTAGCTATCCATCAGTATCACCTGGGGACCTGACCTATAAAATGTATCCTCTGTGCCACACTCAGCCCGATTAGACGAGTTTATTTGAGGGTGGGATCTATTTTCTAATGCTTCTCATTTGATGTTATGTGGAACCTGTGTTAAAACTACTGATCGGTGGCTAAGAAAAATGATTACCAAATAACACTGGGGACCCCCTCACCATGAAGTCAGAAACCATGAACTTAGGTGCACTTTCTTTATGCCGAGTATCTGATGACAATCATTTTTCTGCTCCTACAATCAAACTGCCTTTACATTTCTGAAGGGCTATTCTCACGATGTTAAAATAAGTTGATCCTTGGAAGACCTTTCTTTTTTATCTTTTTTTATAAATAAAATTTTTCTTTTTTCTTTTTTCTGTCTTATTTTGCATTTCTGCTGCTATATCCCTCAATTTCACTTGAATTCAGTTTTATGTATATACATGTCCATACATATATATCCATTTCTTCCCCCTCCCTGGTCCATTAAACAAACAGCACCTCCACATTGTTATTGTTTTAAAAGTAGCAGTTTACTCACCATGATTAATCTCAGCATTTTTGCAATGACCCCTCCCTTCCCCCTTTTTTCTTGTTGCCATGGGGGACAGACTTGATGTAGGCTCAAGTGGCAGTGAGAAACCATCTGTGACACAGAGAATCATAATTAGACATTATTTCATAACGTATTTACTTTTGACCATGATAAAACTAAGTCTTTCTGGTGCTACAAGAAGATTATTATTCATTGTGCAAAAAAACTTTGTTCTTACTTTTGGTTTTCATTTACTGTTAATAGGGAGTTCCCTACAAGCCTCTAAGAGTTCCTTGAAACTTGACAGTATAAATGTTCAATAACAGGAAGCTATTTGTAATAAAAATTTCAAAACTGCTTCAAAAATACATTAACCATATAGAAAATCAAGAGTCTTAAATACGGAAAAATTGGAAATGTCCTCGTATGTATTTAATATAGAAATAAAAATGAATTTTGCGTACAAGATCGTAAAGATGCAAATTTAAACCAAAAGCATTTTCTTTCGATGTTCAAATGTTGCAGAACTTACAGCAGCATCTT